GGGGGGGGGCGACCCATCCCCCACCAGTCAATCAATCAATCAATCAATCAATCAATCAATCAATCAATCAATCAATCAATCAATCAAAAAAGACAAAAAACATAAATGTGTTTTGAGTCGGGTAAGATTTTTGATTTTTTTAAAATAATTTGAATGCTCAAAAAATAAAATAAAAAATATAGGGATGTAGAGCGCAAAAATATCAACACCCTCGTATTTTTATTTTTATTTTTTGCCCGTGAAAAAAAACATTTGCGGGCCGTGTTGTTCCACGTTCTAAGGAGGGTAAACGCGGCGTTAAATCGAGGTTTCAACGACCGTTGGTCTGTTCAACGGGAAACCCCCGTTGAATCCCTTTTCGGACACATAGCTGAAAACGACTTTGCTTCAAGCTCCTTTCTTAAGCATCTATGACCCGACCTTGCCTACCAAAGTGACTACAGACACTTCAAGTTACGACATTGGCGCGGTTTTGGAACAGCATGACGGCACATACTGGCATCCGGTTGAGTACTTCAGCTAAAAGGTGCCACCCATCAACACTCTTGATGATGCGAGGAAGAAGGAACTGCTAGCTTTTGTCGCCGTACTTAAGCGTTGGCGTCACTTTCTTCTCGGGCGTCGGCGATTCACGTGGGCAACGGACAACAATCCATTGACGTATTACAAGACGCAAGGCAAGGTGAGCAACACGATCGGTCGATGAATGTACTTCATTGACCAGTTCAATTTCACCTCCAAGTACATTCCGGGCTCCTCGAACAAGGCAACGGATGCTCTCTCGCGAAGACCTGATCTTTGCGCCTTGGTGCACTCCACATTCGGCCTCGACGAGAACCTGCAACAACATTTCATAAACGGCTACAAGTCGGATCCGAGATTCTTCACGCTCTATGCGGATTTATCATCGGACCACCCGCCGGCAAGCAACTATCACATTGTCGACGGCTACTTGCTTCTTCATACACGAGGCAAGGACTTGTTGTGTGTTCCCCAAGACCGCATCTTGCGCACTCACCTCCTTGGCGAATACCACGATTCGCGTCTAGCGGGACACCTTGGCGTCGCACACACACTGGCACGACTCCGCCAACGATTTCACTGGTCGGACATCATCAACGACGTCAACCGGTACATTCAGTCATGTGCAGTTTGTCGCTGGAACAAAGGACGCCACCATCTCCCGTACGACGGACTGAAACCATTGTTGATTCCTCGGGAACCGGGTCTCTCCGGCCCTTTCCCTCGTGATCGCCTTGGCCATGACGGTATTCACACGGCCGTTGACTGTTTGAGCAAGTACGCTCGATTTCTTCCATGCAAGTATCATGCGACGGCTCCTGAGCTCGCACGACTTTTGCATACCGGCTGGTTTTGTAGCCACGACGTTCCGAAAGAGATCGTCAGCGACCTCGACACTCGTTTCATGTCGGCCTTTTGGACGACAATCATGGTGGAATTCGGCACCAGCGTGAAACCGAGTTCCGCACGGCATCCTCAAATGGATGGGCAAACGGAACGTGCGCACTAGACTGCGCAGATGATGCTCCGCACACTCATCCGCCCGGATCAGAAGGACTGGGTTGACCGAAGGACTGGGTTGACCGTCTTCCCGACATCGAGTTCGCCTACAACACTTCGGTGCACCCGGCGATTGGCGTGACTTCATTCGAGTTGCACCATAGTGGACGGGAAGGACGTATCTTCACAAATATTTTGCTTTCATGGGCTGCCGATATCGACGCCGCTTGCTCCTCCACTTCTACACGGAAGTACAGGGAACTGCCGCCCAAAGCCCGCTGTCACACTTTTTTTCAGTCGGGCCATTTCTGGTGACCGAAAAGCGAACAGGCTGTCACACAGGATTTTGTGTGTTTTTTGCAATAAGTAAAATAAATTAAATAATACAAATCCCTTCCTGTTGTGTGCACCTGGCTTCGAGCGAGACCCTTCAATTACGATCTTCGTCGAACCCTGGTCTTAGAAATTTTTTACTATGATTCGGAACAGCAATGATGATTGGAATGATAAAATTAAAATTAAATTGAATATGTCATGTATGTCCTGATTTTGCAAATTTAAAGGTTGAAAACTGTGACATGATTAGCAAGGAACATAATCATCAAGCAATGTCAGAAGAGATAATCAAGACTGACTGACTCGAGGCAAAGACAAGATGAACGAGGGAAAGGTGATAACTCATAATAGTCTCAGAAGGTACAAATGAACAGACATCGTCAGCACTCCTCAAGAGTCCTTACTCATCCCTCTTGATTCTCCCTGAATCTCTCATTTGACTGCTCGTCTCTTGATTCTCCAAAATTAGGTAAATAAACAATACATCTGAGTGATCGACACAATGGGAGATGAGTGCATGTGATACTAATCCGCATATAGTATTAGATATTGCTCCTAAGATAAGAAAGTGCTCACCTCGATGACTAACTCTCAGTTTTTCTTCAACACGACCTTCTGTCACACCTTCCATATGCAATGGCGCAATAGGAGATTCCTCGATAGYTATCATGAGGTTAGCAGACTGTGGTGTTTGAGGTTGTTCAAGCGTTTGTTGAGGTAGTACTATATGTCCTTCATCCTCTTCGATGCCCTGTACATGGAGAGTTTSTTCCTCCTTTACGCCCTCAAAAGTGTCCTGGAAAGTGCCGCTTACTTCGGCTGGCATCGTCGACGACGGCATCTGCAATTCCGTGAGTGTACCACTAATATTCACTTCCATCGCGACACTGTCGCCCACAAGTATCGTAGTCGCCCAAACTTGGTCAGCTGTACTCACGCCCTCGCAACTCACACCGTCTTTTCGTCCCGAAGTTTTGACACTCGAAYCGGCAATCGATCCCCGTTGATGTGTCGGGTTGGACTCAACCACGAGTTTCTCCGCTCGGTCAAGCTGGGAGCGCTCCAATAGTGGACCCCTGTCATGTTCGACTCGACCCTKCGACWGGTGAAACAACGTCGATTGGTCTTGWAGCCTTGCCACTTGTACCGGCGATTGATCCCGATCCCACTGTCGGGTTCGACTCGACAGTGACTTTCTTCGCTTCGTCAAGCCGCGAGCGCTCGAATGCTGGATGAGTGTCGTGTTCGACACGACCGTGTGACTCTTTGACAGGTGAAGCACCGCCGATAGTTGTACTGCCCCCCCATGGTACCGAAGCCTTGTCAGTCGCACCAGCGATCGTTTCCGATCCCACTGTCGGGTATGACTCGACCGTGTGACTCTTCGCTTGGTCAAGCCGGGAACGCTCCAATGCGAGGCCACTGTCGTGTTCGACTCGACCGTGGGACCCTTCGATAGTTGAACCACCACTCGATCCTGATCCCTTGCGCTCTGTTTCTTGAGGCCCCTGAGACCCTTCAACAATTGAACCACCGCCGCTTGGTCATGTAGGTTTGCCATGCCCACTGCCGCTTGGTGCTGATCCCTTGCCTTCTGTTGCTTGACGCCCCTTAGACTTTTCGGTTTGTTGCCGTTTCCCACGACTTGCGTCCTTGCCGCTTGCACCGTCATTCGGTTCCGTACCCTTGTCACTTGCACTACTCCCCAATTGCGATCCTTTGCCATGCGCACCTCCRCTCGATCCGGATCCCTTGCCATGGTCACCACCGCCGCTTGATTTTTCCCTCTCCCCAAGATCTTGTCTGACATGCCAATAATATCCATAAGCCGAACTGGTTTGTCTATCATAGAACTCTTCCAGATACTCAAGCCACTGTGATGTTTTGAACTCTTGGAAATTTTCTTCTGTTCTTTCATCCAGTCTTGATTGAGAAACCTCCGGATTAAGTCGCAGGAGTCGCTTGGCAATCTGATTTTTGGCATGTTTAAGAAAGTCCGATCCTGACATACGTCTGTGGAGGCAAAAYTGTCACTCCCCTTCTTCTTTTATAGCCATAACCCACCTCCCTCTCGCCAATGCAGGTTGGAAGTGTTGGGGGTGCCATATGATGTGATGACCCCATGTGGCATCATCCGTCACCGTATAATCGTCTCGGCACACTATAGGCCCCGTAACCAGTCGAATGTCTGCAGGGATTGTGTTTCCAATCTCGTACTCCAAAGGCTCATCAGGTGGAGGTTGTTTTGGAGTTCGAGAGCGTAGCAATTCCATAATAGTACTTGGGTTGTGTGCGAATGGTGCCAGAGTTGCCACCAACTCTGGGGAGAGCATTGCTAGAACAGTCGGATCCAGACTGCCTCCGGATGCCACCGTCATCGTATTGCCCGCCATATGAGTCGGTGTAACAATAGAAGAAGTCGGCGGSTGAGTCAGTAACTRATCGGTTGAAACCGCCATGCTCGAAGCTCCTCCAGAACCGGACGATGTGCCTGGAACACCCATTCTCTGCGAACCCGGGCTACGAGCTCTTTGCCTCTCAGCTGCCAAAGCCGCTTGCAAAGTGCCATCAACACTCTCTTCTTCTGAGTCGTCGGCATCAAAGTCCTCACCATCCACAAAACAAGTTGCATAACCTGCGATTGTAAACGCCCCGATTTGTTGGTCAAAGTACATTGTCTCCAAGCGGTCGAGAAATGAAACCTCCCTCTCCGATGGTGCTTTATGATAACCCCTCAAGAGCTTCTCCAYTTTTCTTCTTCTGAGGACATAAGTACGTTCCCCTCTATCTTGCGGCTTTGTTTCGAAGAGAAACTCCCAAATATTGAGCACGTTTTGGCCAACCTTGTAGACAAGATTACGCGCTTCATCATGTCGAGGAGGCGGCTTAGTAAAGCTGGCGTAGTAATCTCGAGTTTTGACCATCTTGTCAATGAACTGAGTGAGGAACTCGAACTTCATACCCTCCCCTTCCAGCACAATGCAANTAAAGCTGGCGTAGTAATCTCGAGTTTTGACCATCTTGTCAATGAACTGAGTGAGGAACTCGAACTTCATACCCTCCCCTTCCAGCACAATGCAATGACGGTGACTCTTTAACAACTCCCAAACCAATCCCGCATGACCTTTCCCGAGGAAAACGACAGCCTGATCCGCAGGACAAAAATGCTCCAATGTCTCCACCATCGCATTCGGCTCCCTTTCCATACCATCATACACCACTTTCTCCGGTGGATCCATACCAGCCATTTTTCACTTTGATGGTAGAAAGTTATTCTCCACGACATCAGTCAATATCTTCGGCTTTCTCTCTCTCCGCACAAGTGCCGATATGTCAGCCACCCACTCGGCAGATGATGGACCTACAGCTTGAGTATCTTCAAACAAGGGAATAGTGTTGCAATGAAAATCCCCGTCGTTGGAGTACATGATGACCACCATTCTGTCTGTGTCCTCCAAAGGCAAGTTTGCAACCTTATATGTCACTTTCCCCTTTGTTTGTTGTACACGAGTCTATTTGAGAAGATCCAACTGAATTTCCCACGTCCCGACTCGCCTGAAGAATGTGAACTCGCAAGGGCGTGGAACGAAGCACAACAATGTCCAATACTCGCCGCCAAGTTTGTCCATGAACTTCTTGAGACCATCAAACACTTGTTCAGTCCACGCACCCATCTGGGTCAGACAACAAAAATCCAAGACGGATGTGTGGCACGTCAGGTGTCTGACGACTCTAAACATCTCCTTGCAATCCATCTCGTCGGAAACATCGCTCGGTTCCTACCGGAACGGCACGAATACAAATGTCACTTCCTGTTTCTGGAAATATATATATCTCGCTTGTCCCGACATACGAATGCTATGCGAACCCCCAGTTTAGATCTACGCAACAACTTGTTGAGAAATTGAATGAACTCTTCGGGACATTTGTTTGCAAGCGATTTTGTTTTCTTGAAGCTCTCCTCTCCTTTCTCATCCTCGCCTCCAAGTGTAGCCGGAAATGACCGCACCCAACTCGTTTCTTTGAAATGCTGTCGCTGGTCGATCCACCTCTCCGATGTCAGTCCTTGATCACAATACTTAGCAAACAAATCAGAAAGGTTGTAGAAGAATGATTCCTTGCACTCTGACGACTTCTTGTGAGGGTCAAAAATGAAGACGAAGTAGTAAAACATTCTCAACATTGCTCTTTCCTGTTTCACCATTTCCACGTATGTCTCCATCGAATGTTTTCCGACAATGTGAGCAGTTTTACTTAGCCTTGGAGCCAGTATAATACTTCCCTCGAGAATGTCTCGCAACAGCTGAAGCCTCTCACACCTCCCCAACGTAGACACAGCCTTCCATGATCTGACATCCGGATCGCGCATAGCCACGAGGTAACCAGGTCCTCTAGTACCCTGAATCCAATGTTTATGGAACCCTAACTCCTTTTTCTAACTCGAATCCGGGGCCAGGTCTCGGCGCTTTCCCCGGTTCACCTTGTTTGGTGGCAGGCTTCACACCATCTCTCCCCGGCAACTGTCCACTCTCCTAAGCAGATTGTCCACTCTCCCAAGCAGAATACACTTGTTGCACCTTGTCGAACACATCGTTCGTCGCCCTTGCCAATACCATGTAAGGCCCGAGCGTGTTGGACCACTCCTTGCTCCAAGCCTGAAGTGAAAGAGTAACCAAACGATCACTCCCGGTTGTGCGCAGAACCATCGCCGCAAACTCTCTATAATCCTTATTTTTGACGTCTGCAGCAGATCCGCCTATAGCTTCTGGACGACCGGCTGCTTGCCACAACCTTCGTATGTTCTCAAAAATAGCAATCTGGTGCGGAGGAGTATTCCATTTGTCCTTCGCATTTTGGAAAGTGCTCAAGGTGCAGTAATTTTTCATGCTCCTATCCGGATAGTAAACAGGCCTTGCAGTCCAGCAATCCAAACGGAGCTCAGGGGCCATGTAAGGGCGTTTTTGAGAACATTTCCTCGTTGCCGCAACATTGTGTTGACCACTGAGAGGGTACCAGTAGTACTTGCGCACGGATTGGAGATCGAATTCGCCGGGCGTCACTCTTTTCGCCCTCACATTCGTACCGGAAGCGTCAGTATGCATTGTATCATGCAGCGCAATCAACAAAAGGACAGGCTTCTCGTACAATGCACATACATTCACCCCGGCTGCCCCGATCGTTCTCTCTCTGATAGCTGCCTCACCCGACTCAACCATTGTTTTGTAAAAAGTATCAATAAGCTCTTGATCGAGGAAGCGTTGATTATATCTRAATTCCTCATCAGGGATATCCAGAATCCTGTCCAACTTTACAGAAATGAACTGCATTTTCGGCCTCTGTTTACCATTCTCGTCGAACTCAAGGAAGAAGCCTTTACTCAGATGACCAGAAGAATTCCCAGGCGGCAGAATCTGCAAACCGGGCGGTCTGGTGACTGTCTGGCCCACAACGTCTTCATCCGACTGTGGCTGGTCCGGTGGAAAAACGGAAGTTTTTTCCATCACACCTTCCTTCGCTGCTTTTTTCCTTGGCTGCCATTTTTTCTTCATGGCCTCCTCAGCCTCCCGCGTACGTTGAACGGCCTCCWCAACTGCCAGCATTTTCAACTTGCGTTTGCCCTCCTCTTGCTTGGCTTCCCCCTCCTGCTTGGTTTTCTTACTGTCCATWGCACTTCTCCTCTCTTGCCTCATCTTCCTTTTCWTCTCAGCTAGTCGGACTGCATCGGCATCCGCCGGCTCGACCCCAACTTCGCGGTGCATTTCCCCGCGCCCTGGATCCGCTTCCCAATGCCCATGACYCGACGCGAGCAGCTGCGTTCGTTTGGAACCCCGATGCACATCTGCATACCCTCCCTTGCCGGTCGTTTCCTCTTCTTGCCCTTCGTCCTCATACTCAACCCCTAGACGACCCTCCGACTCGCCCGGCCCACCCCTCTCGCTGATTGTGTGCTCACTTTCTACTTCCTCTTCTTCGCCACCCTCCTCATATTCTTCGCGTTCTTCATCGCGCTCCCATTCTTCTGCGCTCTTCTCCTCGTCGTCATCTCCAAAATATTGTGGCCCAGCAGGAATGACCAACTCATAGCACGACGGGCAGACCAAGGAAACGGGTTCCTTGGTTGATGTTGGTCTACGCTTCACAGGGGCTGACGGCACGATTTGGCCGCGACACGGACCTTTCTCCCCGATCTGCCCAGATTTCGGAACTCGTGTTGCAGCAACCGTAGTCCGAAGTGATGGTGGAGGGCGGGCACCTATAATGATCGGTTTCGACGACGGAGCCGCCTCCAAAGACGAAAAAAGCATGCTTTTCGGTTCAGATATGCGGTCGGAAGAATGCACCACCGGCTCATGCCCTACGACCACATATCTGTCGAAGAATGCGAAAATCGATCGAAGGTCCGGCAACGTCAATTTCTCCGTCCCGGGCGGATTGAAAATGTCATAAAGCCTCTTGCCGTACCCAGCGTGTTTGGCCCAACGAAGAGCAACGCGTTTGACACCCGCCACCCGCTCACCTCTAGCGTTAAGGACCATCGTCAACTCCAACATGGCCGACGATGATTTTTCTCCACTCCACTTAACCACACCGCCAATCGGAACAATGTTATCTTTTATTACCACGTACAAAACCAGCCCACCCAAGCGTTCCCCGATTCCACCCACCCAATCCAACATCCAGCACTCGTCTTGGTGGTCGACGACAGGCACCTCGTCTCCCACACCTGCAACGGACATGTCACCAGACCTTTTACGCCTGGGCACAACGTCCATCGCAGATTTCCCCTGCCGACTAGTAGCTACCAAGGGAATCCTCGTTGGTTTCTCTTCCTCCGCTTAGTTATATGCTTAAATTGGGCGGGTGCTCCCGCCCGACCTGAGATCAAAAGGCAAGGCCCGACGTACCTATTCCCGGTTCGCCCGACCTGAGATCAAAAGGCAAGGCCCGACCTGAGATCAAAAGGCAAGCCCCACCACTCATCAACACAGCCGAATACATTCCCGAACTTCGAATATGGGCGGAAGGAGTGCCCGTAGAAGGCGCATCCCGCAGCTCAGGGGTTCAGTGACCCTTAGACCCTGGTGTGTCGCCAACCCCCACGCCAGCCGTCGGTGTCCCCTTCGGTTTTTTCAGAGACTGCTCCATGCCCCCGGAACCAGCACTAGTACGTCGTTTGCTTGGCTTCCCCTCGCGATCCATGCCGAGCAGCTAGTCGCAACTGAAGAAAACGCACAAGCGAGAAAGCAGTCATTGCTTTGCCAACGTGCAAACACCACATCACTTGAGAACGAGAGTAGACAGGAACACAGAGCAACTGAAGCGGGCCGCAGCCTGCCAGCTCGTCGTCGTTCCACTGTCGTGTCGAACTCGACGGCCGTGCCACGACTTCCTCCAGTACCGTCGAATTCGACA